AAAAATTGAGCCAGTAAATTAATTGTGCTTCTCTGCCTCTTCCTTTCCCTCCTCCTTTTCCTTCTTTTTATTCCTTAAAGTTTTAAGTAAATTCATATATACCTAGTTATCTGCTCTTCCAGTTTCTTTATTAAAATAGGTTACAATTAGTCACGATTCAGTAGTTAAATGCTACAGTTGTTGTCAGATTTATTATTTCCTGTCCATTAAATTGTTAGGTTATAGAGGTCTTCTTCCAAAACGGTGTTTAGTTTTCAAGGTTTCCTCGTTTGTGTTTGGTTTACTTTAATTATGATTACTTTGAACACTTGGTTTGTTCTGGAATATCCAGTTATCTCAAGTTTCTCAATGTCTCTAATCCTTTTGTCTGTTTGTATTGAATCCCTGTGATTTAAATGATCAGTAGCTAAGATCAGCAGCATCTTGATAAGGTCTCTTTCTCCATAATTAGATATTTTTTAATCAGTTCTGTATCATTAATATGATATCATAAAATGTCTTTGTACAATTCCCCATGAGTACACAATTTTGAGGGGCATTTTTCCCCTTAATTTCTTTTTCACTTCTCCGTGTGCAGTGATCTTGATGTGTCGAGATAAGATTAGTGCTTGGTGAGATTAGAAGTGTGTATTTCATTTAAAACCCCGTTTAAAAATAAAGGGCAGTGTGCCTATTATTCAGCCCTTAAACTGCTCTTTTTATATCCTCAGATGCTCTGAGACAGAAATTTTCAAAGTACAGTCTGAGGATTCCTGGAGGGTCCCTGAGTTGCCTTTCAGAGGGTCTGTGAGGTCAGAAGTATGTTGTCATAATATGAAGACATTTCTCTTCACTTATGAAAGTACAGTGGAATATTCCAGAGTCTGAATGATGTGTGATTTTGCAGTAGACAGTGCAGAAGCAGATAAGAGAATCTAGCCATCTTCTATTAAACCAGAAATTAAAGAAATTCGTAAAATTTTAAGACAATAGCACAGCACTCACTATTTTTTGTTTTAGAAAATAGTTATTTTTATTAGAAAATGTTTATGTTCATGTGTCATTAGTTTATTGTTTTTTTTAAATAAATTAGGATTTTTTTTTAATTTCTCAGTTTTAACTACTAACATAGTAACTAATGTTAGATATAACTCACATAAGCAAAAGCTCTTTGAGGTTCTCAATAATTGTTTTTACTCTAACAGGGTCCTGAGACCAAAAGGTTTGAGATCTGGTGTTCTAAAAGGTTGCTGCTGCTTCTAACAATTGTATCTTTTGGGGGGAAGGCAAAAGATCATGTTCCACCTTTTCTTTTTTGCTTGGCTTCCTGACTAGAGATAATGTAAAAGGTAAAAGTATTAACTATAGGTTAAAAGCAGTCAGTGGGTCTAAGCAAAAATAAAATAATGATTCCTGCCATGTTTGTCAGTCGAATACATTTAAATGACTCCTACAACATTTGTACATGATTGTGTCTCGACTTTTAATAATCTTTATGCACCAAGTAATTGATAGTAATTAATCCCTGCCTATATTTTTAAAAGCCAGGATCATGACCTTCAGTATTTCATTGCTTTATTTTGTCTTTAAATTTGTTCTTCGGTTGGTGCATAGCTCCTAAGTCTATCATTTTCTCTAAAAATTTTCTTCTGTTATCTGGTCTAGCTCTCCTTTATGAAGTGCCAAATGGTGTCATTTTGTTTTGTTTCGTGTTAATTTGGACTTAGAACACAAAACTACCATTTCTGTTCTAGAAAGCCAGAACAGTAGTTGGTGAACATCTTTAAATAATTAGTACTTTGCTAAACCAATACTTGTAAGTTTATCTCATTTGTTGTTATTGTGTTGCTATCTTCACTGTCATTTTCTTCCCAACGGAATGGAGCTTCTAAATTGGGTTAGACTGTGGGAGAGCAATATTTTCTCTTGATCCCAAACTGCAATTCTTAGGTGTGTTCCAAAGCAACTGTATGAGAAACTTGTATTGTTGCCTTCAAACTCAGCTTATACAACATACAGCATCTTCCTCCTCAGGGATCTGGTGGGTTTTCCCTGGGTGTCACTCAAGGCTGAGCATGGCCCTCTGCCTTCTCACTTCTCCTCCCCTGCCATTACCTTCCCTCTCCTTCCATCATGTTCCTCTCCTCGCCATCTTTGTGATTTTCCTTTCATTCCCACCCCACACAGTCCAGCATCTGCTTGGGAGTCACATAATAGACAAGGCTATGGCCTCCACTTCCGGACACCTACGTCTGAACCTCACTCAGCTCCACACATCTAGTTGTGACATTGAGCACATCTCTTGGCCTCTCTCTGCCTCGGTTTTCTTATTTGCAGAACAAGCGTTATAGGATTTGCAAGTACGAGGTGTTTGTAATAGTGCTTGGAGTATAGGACGTGCATAGGGCACGTATGGTATTATTGTCTATATGTGATCATTATCTACTGTAAGGAGTGAGCTCAGCCTGGTGAGACATGAGCAAAAGCAATTTTATTTTATCTCACCATTGTCCTGGCAGATCCACTCTGAACCCATTCCTCTCCTTCATGAATAAAATTTCAAGCTATTCCCATAATTTTTCCAGGCACTCTTGCATAAGGAAAAGACAAAAATTTTAGACTCATCCAACTTTTAAATGTCTTCCTTCCCCCAACGTGGACATGAGAGATCTATAATTTCTAAATATAGGAGATAGGAATATTTGTTAGTTTCTTCTCTTCCTCCTGCTTTTTACCCACCGACTGATTGTGTTCCTTCTAAAGTTGCTGTGAGGGTGACAGGAGAGGGAGAGGAGAAGGACAGTGAAGAAAGGTGTCACCAGACTGCTACAGTTATGATCTGGCATCTGTGATCTCCGGGGATGGCAGGTTACAATGCCTAGGGTTCTTTCCCTATGGGACACCACTGATGGCTCTACAGAGACCCATTGCGGGGGAGTTCTCTCACCTCAGGTGCTCTGAGGAGTCACTGGTTCCTCAACTGCCTGCTGTCACCTTCCCCATGTTCTGCTTCCTGTGATGCTGAAATGAGATGGCATCACCCCAGCAGGAAACATTCTTCAAGGAGACTCATGTCTGGTTCCCTTCTGCACAGTCTACATTGAACCCTCATGAGATAACTGCACCTATGTTCAGCTATTCTTTGAGAGTAGCTGAATCTCATTGGGGCCCTCTCTCCTCACTCACCTACTCCAACTATCTCTTTTTCATGAGTGAGCTGGATATCAATTCCTGTTTCCCCAAATCACTGACATGTCAAGCACCACAAATTGTGACCTTGAAGCTATCCACCTTCTGTTACCTGGCTTGCAAAGAGAGAAGGCTCCTTCCCTTCCCATAGAAGATAGGAAAGGAGAAATACTGAAGTACACTGGCAACTTTTTCTCCCAACCCAACAGAAAAATGGGCAAAGGATATAAACAGGCAGTTCATAGAAGAGGAAAACCAGTAAGCATGTACTATACCAGTAAACAGAGAAAGGCAAATTTAACCAAACCTAAGATACAATATTTACACTGAAGCCCAGCAAAGGTTAAAAATACAGATTTGGTGAAGATGTCAGGAAAACATAAATATTCACACTGTTGATGGGAGTAGATATTGATGGAGTCTTTTCAGAGAATAATTTTGCAGTATTTATTAAAATTTAAAATCTACTTTTTGACCCCACCATACCTGCTTCCAGGTATCTGTCCTAGAGAAACACCAGCAAAACTAGCCAAATATCCAAGGGATAGAAGGCTTATTATTGCCTTATTTATAATTTTTAAAAACTTGAATGTCCATCAGAAAGGGACTAGCAAAATAAATTATGATGCTTCCAATGAAATGGATACAACAAGTGGTAAAGAGATTGAGCTGTAGTGATTTGTGGAAAAGGTTTCAAAGACATATTGTGTGAAAAAAGCAGTATAAAAATTAATATTAATCATGCATTTATATAAGAAAATGGAAAAATCAGGGATATTTCCTTGCATACATACATTCATGTTTGTGAATTCATAGAAAAAAGTTAAAACCATTTCAAACTGATGAGTGATTACTTTTGGAGAGGGATCTAAAACCAGGGGAAGCAGGATCAGGTAAGACCTCCACAATCACAGCGAGAGTATGTTACATGTGTGATAACACATAATTTATGAAATAATTTAAAATATAATAAAATGAGTGGAATTGCTAGAGGTGATCTTTAATTTAAGGTTGTCTCCAATATACTACTCTATATTGATAGCTGGATTTACTAATCCTCAGAAGAGCCTATGAGAGCATTCATCATCTTTAAGCAATATTTATCATATTAAGGATAGTCTTCTATAATAATTACTCACATCTAAATGTCTGTTCAAGCAATAATTAGTAAGTCTTTGCTGTGGTTGTGAGCTTCTGAGATGACACACAATTATGCTTTTCAGATATAAATCAGACAGACTTCAATACATAGAGCCTTGACTTATTATAATAATAATTAGATTTGAACTGATATGGTAATATGCATAAAGAGAGCTACAACTAAAATTCTCTGAGGAGTAAATATTTATTTCTGGCAGTTGGTTTTATACACTTTAAAATTTTTTTTTCAACTTTTTTTTTTTTTTATTTTGGGACAGAGAGAGACAGAGCATGAACGGGGGAGGGGCAGAGAGAGAGGGAGACACAGAATCAGAAGCAGGCTCCAGGCTCTGAGCCATCAGCCCAGAGCCTGACGCGGGGCTCAAACTCACGGACCGCGAGATCTTGACCTGGCTGAAGTCGGACGCTTAACCGACTGCGCCACCCAGGCGCCCCGGTTTTATACACTTTAAACTTCATTTCACTTTCAAGTAACTGTCAGCTGTTCTTGAATTATGTATGGTATAAACTTGTTTTCCTTTATGGTGTTTATTTTTAAAATCATCATATATGTGTGTTGTCGAATCACATGACTTAGTAAAGATAATTCTAATTCTGAAAAGATTAAACATGAATGTTGGAACCATTAAGTACAATTACTGTAATGTTACTTCATTATTTTCCCTATTTAGTACCTACATGAAAATGGGATTGTCCATCGTGATCTCAAACCAGAGAATCTTCTCTATGCAACTCCAGCCCCAGATGCACCACTCAAAATCGGTGAGGACATTTCCTAATGTCTCATGACTCCTTTCCCAGAGTAGAAGAAATTTATTTCATGGAATTTTTAAATACTGCTCCATCCGGTTTTGCCTCCATTTAATTTCCTTGAATATTTGGTGTCTGTAAAGGAATAATGCATTATTTGGGAAGTTTGTGTTCTTTCTGGAATCAGTGCCTAGGAGGTGCTCCAGTGCTGAACACAAAGGAAACGTAGCTTGTAGAAATGGCAGGGACTCCAGGGGGTGATGGTGTATTTTGTAGATAAGTTTATACAGAAGAAAATCACAGATAACATAGCACTTCTTTTTTTGTTACTTTTTATTCCACAAATCAGTTGGAGATTAATTTTAGATATTCAAGAACTTCGACACAAAATGCTTAGTACATATTCTTGAATTTAGGGTCTGAGTCGCTTGTTTATGTGAACAGAGAAAATTGAGATCTGTATTTCCCAAAGTATACTCCACAGAACACTGGTTCCTCAGCTGAGTGAACAGGGGTAACTACTGTAATTCCCTTTGTGGGAAATGGGAGTTGTTTGTGGAAGTGCTAAGGTTGGTCAAATAAGGTAGGAAATGCCAACTTAAACATGATTTTTTATTTTTGCAGGACTTCCCAGAACTTTAAAAATGCTAATGTGTAAACTGACATCTAAATTAGTGTACTGTGAGGTTTTTCCCAAACCTTATTTGACTTTGGAAACCTTGTTTTTTCTACCAGTAAGCATTTTGAAGAACTACAAAGATGAACTTTGTGCAACTCCCATCTGTTCAAAGGGTTCCTTAAATCAGCATTTTAGAAAAAAAATATACATGTGTTAAGTGCTACTTTCCAAAGCAAATCTTCATTTGCAAATAATAATAATAAAATTTATTTTATATGAATCCTCCTTTAGTAGATCTGCATTAAATCCTGTGAAGGACATTGCTCTTTTGGTGCTGGCCTGTGTAATGTTAATCTGATCAGTTCACTGCATTAGAAGTGTTAACATCTTTGAAAATTAAGTTATACATATCATAGAAGAGCTCAGACAACATAATGTGCTTTATGAATGCAAGAACTCAAAGAAAAAAAAATACCAAAGCCCTGCTAGGCAGCCGTCCTGTTCTTATAATCACTCCTGAAAGGCAGTGAACGGCGGGGAGACTTCCATTTCCTTTGACATCACTTTCAAAGATTTTATCCTTAAAGAAATTTCTTTAAATGGATGGATAGATACTAATTTAGACAGGAGAGGCTTTCTTTCTGAAGGACTTCCTGCTGCTTTCCCTGATAAGGATCAGCACCTCCGTGGAAATGTGGGTTTATCTTTGAAGTCTAAAATGGCATCAATTCTGCACCTGCCTCTCTTGAAGAGTGGCCTTGAATGGTTTCCTGATGTTTCCTGAGTGAGAGAGATGTAGCCCAGCAAACAGACCATAATGGTAGCAACTTTGGTAGTGTTTTATCTAGGTAATATTCTGAGGAATAAATAAAAAGGACTTTTGCCCAAAAAAAGTGTTATATCTCTCATATGAGAGTAAATCCTTATCCATAAAATACACTAAAGAATGACATTATTTTGAAGCAGAATAAATGTTTTAATATTTCTGTTAATTTCTTTGACATTCATGAAAACCTAATTTTTTATTTTGATTTTGTCCAAGGGATTACTAATTCTATATCACTATATTATACTTTAGAGTTACTGTTTCATAAATCTCAGAATTAATATTAGACAAAATGTATCTATTGCAACTATTACTTCAAGAAAAAAGAGGTAATTTGCTAAACACTAGGGATTATAGAGCATAAAATGTATTTGGGAGTCATATTTTTCTCAAATTTAAAGCAAGACTTGAATTGGTATTATTATTATTTTATTTTATTTTATTTTTTTAGTTCCCTCTCCCATGTGACTGGTCCCCTTCTACATATCCATCCATCATCAAATACAAAAACAAATAAATCTGTTTTATTTTGAATAACAGAAATATTCTGTCATCTTATAAAAGCTGAGAAAAGACTTGTTTCATTAAATGTTTCTCTTGTGTTGTTAGCTGATTTTGGACTCTCTAAAATTGTGGAACATCAAGTGCTCATGAAGACAGTGTGTGGAACCCCAGGGTACTGCGGTATGCTCTTTAATACTGATAATTACTTTTATTGTTATTTGAAATCGATTTTTACTTCACGATCTAATTTTCTAACTCCTAATATCTCTATTTAAAATGCTTACAGTGTGATGTGAGTCTCCATGAGGAAGGCGTGTATAAATGATACTTAGACCACCTCTTGTTCTACATGAGGGGTTCAATGATGTTGGTTTTAGGGCCCCCTTCTTAGAAAAGAAGGGAAAGAAGGAGCCCTAGGAAAAAGGGCTGGTGCTCTGCACCTGTCTCTTGGGCAGTAGCTACTCTTGAACCCACTTCGAAGCAGAAGGACAATCATCAAGAAAGAGGGCAGGGAAACAACCTTATTTGTGGTTGGAAATAGAGCCATGAGTCCTCCTGTCACTTTCCTTGTTTGCTTTTACTTGGGAGGGTGGGTGAGGAGGGAGTGTGTCATTAATTCAAAGGGCGTATAGGATAACAGTGAGATTGGGGTAGTCCCTAGTCCTCATTGATGGCACTCGCCTAGCCTTATTAAGATAAAGGCTTCAGGTGGGGTTGCCCCTCCAGAGTCCCCCAGTCTCTAGAGATGGACTGTGTGACAGTCCTCACTCCTAAGAACCACGTAACTAACTTAACAATGTTTGAATTCATGCACATCAGACTATAGAAGGTACAGTTAGATATCCACTGAAGCAAATATATGATTAAGTTCACAGAATTTTAGTGCTAGAAGAAGCTTTAAAGTTCATTTACTAACTTTCTCATTTTGAGTTCTAGAGTATGACTTCCCCAAGATTCCACATCTAGTTGTTAGTGGGTCAGAGATGAGAATCCAGGTATCCAAGGGCCTAAAAACAGATTTATACAATTCCCTCTTCAAAAAAGCCAATATAGATAAACCAATATAATTTTCCTTCATAGAAATATTTATCAGTTATTATTTACATCTTAAAATGTTTTTGTTTTGTTTTGTCTTGTTTTTAGTTTTTTAAACCTCAAAAGTATTACTCGGTCATTGCAGGAAGTAAAAATCCAACTATGTGTAATCAGTATTAATAGCCTTATGAATTCTTCCTCATCTTTCTCCATGTTTCCATATTCACATATGGAATCCACATATTCACAATAAACTTTTTATTATTTTGTTTTTACCTAGTTAATTTCCCTACTGAATCTAAAATATTATGTTCTTGTAGCTCAATTGTTCATAGACCCAGTAATTACACAGAATTAAGTATACCTGTCTTTCTATTATATCTTTACATTGTGCCAAATATTCTTGTTCTGGACCTTTAACTCTTTGGCAAGAGTAGACTACCAATTAGGAGTAAATTCAGAAAACTCCAAGTAACTGTGGCTTATGAAAGATAGAAGTTGATTTCTGTCATGTTAAAAGTCTAGTGAAAGGCAATCCTGGTGGGTTCTCCAGGTAAGGCTCTGTGGATCTCAGTGCCAGGGGTCCAGGCCTTTTCTATCTTGCTCTACCATTCTTTAGCATGCTTCCTCACAGTCCAAAATGGCTGCTTGAAATCAGTCATTACATCCACATTCTCTGTGACAGGAAGGGGGGAAGGGGGAAAAAAGGGTGTACCTTTTCTTTGTTAAATAGACTTGCTAAAGATCCACGTCACTTCCACTTCTCTCTTATTGGCCAGTACTTGGTTACAGCCTCCATACTACCAGAGTGAGTCTTTTGGCTGGACATGTTGCTGCCCCAAATGAATTCAGCGTCCTGTTACTAAGCATAAGTATTGCATTAGACCGCTCACTATCTCTAGCACAGACTTGAGTAAGATTCCCATTACCAGGGGGGGAAAAAAAAACTAGTAAAGCATACCATGTTCCCTATAGGCATCCTCTTGTTTTATATATATAATTTATAGATAGATAGATAGATAGATAGATAGATAGATAGATAGATAGATAGAGATATATATTTATATATGTATATATTTATATGTATATTTATGTATATTTTATTTTCCTTAGAACTTTTAGCTGACAACCTGTCCATGACATCTAATGGTGCCATAGATATTTCCCCTTTATCTAATTCATGTGTCCTTGTCATCCTCCTATATTTCTTTCATGCCTCCTGATCTCCAAGGCCATAAAGATAAAAAAAGAACCCCGAATTTTGTACCATGTGCCAAATGGGATTGCCCATTTGTGAGTATTAACTGCTGACCAATCAAAAGAAGCATTGAAAGAGAATTGACAAAAGAATTATAAAACAAAGTAAGGATTTCCCAAAAGAAGAGAGCTGATGGGCAATTTAGTAATCATTAAGTACAAACACTGAGTATTCCTAGGAGGTAGGTAGGTTGGAGCATCTGAGAACTAGCAGCCCTGAAATGGGAAGATCAGGAAGAGCTTACAGTAGCCATCTCTAAGGGTCCCTTCTGTGACTAAGAGATAGCAGCATCCTTTTAATGGCTTTGATAATAGTGATAAGAGCAGCTCTTTCCTGCAGCGTGACAGAATAGCCATTCTATGAGTGAATGATTCATTCATTGATAAAATGAACATTGAATGTCTAAGAGGCTCTGAGATTCAAGAGTGAACACCATATGGTCTTGTCCTTTAAGGATTTCATGGGCTATTAAAGAAAAAATACCCATACACAATAAATCAGTTTGTGTTGGTAAGTTGTAGTTTTATCCAAGCTAAAGGCTTAGGTATTCAGAGGGGAGGGAACAATTAATCCTCCCTAATATTTGAGCTGGACTCTGAAGGTTGGATAGGAGTTCAGCAAGTGAAGAGGTAGCCACAAGGCATTCTTTGCAAGTAGGCAAAGGAAGAGAAAAATCATAGAGGAGTGGTAGCATCTGGCAGATTCAGGGACTGTTGGTTACTTTGGCACTTTGCACAACTGCAGTATAGATATAGTTGGACTTGGAAAGATACAATGGACCATATTTTTAAATAATCTATACATCAGGCTAAGGAATTCAGATTTGCTTTGGTAAATAGTAGTGATTGAGCAAAGGTTCTTAATCAGGGCAATTATATTTTAAAATCAAATCTGTATCTTACAAATATCTCGACAATGTCATTATGACAGATGGTTTTGAGGGAAACAAGAGACAAAAGAAGACAAATTAGAAAGTGATTATAAATTCTCTTTCCTGTCCCTCTGATGTCAGAAATGTACACACAGAATGCTGTCACTCCCGTAAACAGCTTCTCAGAATGATGTATTCGATCTGTTCCTACATCCATTCATTTTTTTAATATAAAATGAAAATAAAAATACTATTTCAGAGTCTTGTCCTTGCCATAAACAGACCCTTCTTACAGATAATGCCATCTAATAATGGAGGCTTATTTTCCACTTACTATTCCCCCCTGCCCAAAGTACCCACACTACTCTCACTATCCCTTCCCCCACCCCACCCCCACCCCCGCCTAGAGGTTAGGGACAGGATTTTAAGGATACACCTGTGTATAGTAACACAAAAAACACTGGAAAGGCTGAGTTCGGGAAAACAAGGTCTCAGTCACACCCAGGGCACAGGAAGTGGATGGCCTAGAGAAAAGACAAGATGCAGAGTTTAAACGTTTTTGTTTTTGTTTTTGTTTTTAGTTAATATAATAGTGAATAATAATAACAAATAGTAATGAAACAATTAGACTTTATAGGCAAGGCTGAAGCCCCTTTGAGGTTCACTCAGTTCTAGCCTTTCCTCCCTGCAATACATGTAAGTGCCATCATCAGTTTGGCGTGTCCCTTCTGAGAGTACCTAGGTGGGGAGGAAACTGCCCATTTATACAATGAGTTGGAAATGAGACTGGTGGGAATCACCGTCGTCCTACAGAAACCATGACTTTACACACAGACTTTAGTTTTAACTTGAAAAGGTATCTGAGGCCCCTTCGGTTGACAGAGAGGAGACGTGTAAGCTTGTTTTCTTGCTCGTTGGAAGGGTGATTACATTCCAGGTCAGTTCTCCTCATGTACAGGGGGTCTAGTGTCTACCTTTAATGGAAGGCTTTTTCAGTTACATCTTTTGAGGGAGTGGGTGTTTATATTACACCATCTGTCATTTGTCAGGAAATACAAAAGTGAAAAGCCATCCATTCAGTCTCATTCATAGAACCTTTGCCCCAGGCTATTAATAACAGAGGGTTCTCCTATAAGTGAATTGCAAAAGAAAAATCACAGATGCTGTATGTTTAAGCAAATACTCATTATTTCCTGGGAAGTGTGCCCAGTGGAAAATAAACTCCAGGCCAGAAAATTAAAATCTGTGATCCAGATAAATGAAATCAATGACTAGTGTTCTGAAATAGCCGTGAAGAGATTCTCCACATCTTGTTATTGCGAAAAGAAATAGGTCTCAGAAAAAAAAAAAAAATCCATTAGGTCATGGCTCCCAATAAATGGGCCACAACGTATGCAATATTACTACCAAATGTCTTGACTGGTTTAACTATTTAAGACTGGAAGTCTGCGGGTGTTCAGCCTATCAATGCCAATCACAAAAACAAGTAAAGCTGTGAGAGTAGAAAAGAAAACAATATGGTAAAGGGTTAGGTTAAAAGAGTATTTCTGTATAATACTGATTTCTAATTTACTCATAAGCTTAGTTAATTAAACTATGTATGTTCATGGTTCATATTTCTACCCGTCTATCCAAATTCAATTTGCAGGGTCTAGAAGCTCTTCAGAATTGATTTTCTCTTGGCATTTGCCAGAGTCCCAATGGAGTGATAATCCTGTGTTGTTTCTGCATTGTTATATTTTAAAGAAATAATTTATTATGTTCACTATACCAAAATTAAAGATAATTTCTCAATAGCCTAGAGTCAGACAGAAGAGATTTCTGTCTACATGAACACATACTAATATGACCAATGTAGGAAAATTTAATGTAGTAGAAGGAAATCTAATCATCTAAAATATAAGCTTTCAGAATAGTTTCATAAAAGATGTATTTTGTTCATTTCTAGAGGACTAAATAGCTAAGGTGAAATAACAAGAGTGTCAGATTATGTTGGTAATCTAACTGGCTAAGGGA